CGGTGCGATCGTCGCATCCTGTCTCAATCGTGTCGGTTGCGTTGCGGTCATCGCATCTCGCATCAGTCCGTAAGCATTTTGGCTGGCATGGCGTCGGGCCCGCAGCCGAAGCGGCCCCGAACACACCCGGAGGCATTAGTTGAGGTCCACCGCGGCCCGTATGTTTCCCAGGCAGCATTGTCTCACGTGCTCACTTACGTTCGTGACAATGGGTTGCCGGACGCTGTCTCGCGGGTTTCCCAATATAGGACATGAGAAACATGTGGTCAATGATCGTAACACACATGGCCTTATTTTGAATGGCGTGCAGATGCCTGTTGGCGACGATAACGACGGGGGCACATGTGAGAATTGGGGGTGTAAGCCGGGGGCATTCTTGTACGCCATATGCAAGAAAAGCGGGCCGTTCAGGTCACTGATGCGCCACCAATTGCAAACGCACCCATGTTATTTAGCTGTGCCTTGGAAGATATTCTTTATTTCGGTGGTATATCGCCACGCGGTCCTCTCGCGAAAGGCAAAGACCACCGTGGTATGGATGTTGTGTATGGGTCTTATGCCGAATGCGACGAACACTTGCAACACGAAGATCTATGGTTCACGCTCAGCACCGCACGCGCTGCCAAGGTTAAAGATATGCCTGGGGGCATCGGGCAATCTATCCGCATGTTGTTCAGCGAGCTTTTTTTAATAGATCGGGTGGCGTTAACTTTGAGACAACGGGGGTTACGCTGGATGTATCTGCGTTGGGCGACGCAAAAACATACGCAACGATAGTTGCGAGATTGGCGTGAGTTACTGGAGACGAGGAGGCATTGAGGGAGTTTCATATGAACAAGGGGCACTCTGGCTCTAAGCCCTGCGCAATGCGCAGGAACGTCCTTAACAAGAAATTCGGCTACACACAATTCGACAGTTCGGGGACACACGTTGATGGCACCTGCCTTGACAAAAGCAAACTCACCTACAACACCGACGCGACAGTCGTCGCGATCTGGGAGAGGTTGCGCCCTGATTGGGAGAGGTACCAGCGAGACTAGCTCACAGGCGCTCAATACACATCTGTCACGCAGGTGAAAGGTTGGAATTTCCATCCAATGCATGTCGCACTGGACCCGTTTCTTAGATACTTGGTGGTGACATTCTTCTGTTTCGATTGGATGCGCGTATATTTCGTTCGTGGCATTTTGGATCGGGAAGTCAGGGCCCTGACGAAGCTGTGCAGCGCCGACGACCTCCAGGACTACTTCGTGGAGTGGACATGGCCATCTAAACACCACTCTGCTGCAACAGTCTGGGAAACGGGAGACTTCCAGGCGAGTGCCTCGCAAGAGCTATCTGCGATTCCCGTGTTGGCTCTATACACCAGGCAAGTCATTGTCAATGCACCATCATGCGATGCAGTCGCAGACCAGATAGCAAGCATGCTGGCGTTATGTGACGCCGTGGATGCCATTCCCTGCGCGTCGAGGCGGTTGTCATGCACGCGCGACGAGGTTGAGCCAGCAGTGTTGAAATATTCTGAGCGTCACCAGCGTGCATATGGTGCCAAGCACTGGGCGTATAAGCATCACATGGCTATCCACTTGGCTGACATGTTTGAGAGGCATGGTGTTTTATCATGTTTTGTCCAAGAGCGGAAACACAGACAGGTCAAACGGTTTGCAAAGGACCACCTGTGCAAGACGAGGCCCGCGAAGGCTGCAATGATCCAGCGCGCGGCTCAGCTCATGCATGATATACAGAACATCCGCGGGTTGTCACTGGAGTGCGAGTTCGAGCGCGCCACAGCTGCAAGCAAACGTTTGTTGAGTGCTTTGCAGCAGCTGCGCCCAGGCACGCATGCAGCAGTCTCGACCATTGAAGCGCACACCGAACATGGAGGAAAAATCAGACGTGGCGACATAGTTTTGATGGGGCGCGATCGTGGCCATGTTGCAGTCCAAGTGTGGTTCCACGTGAATGCGACGGCGATCCGCCGTAGAGCTTAGTTCACATTCTGATTACAAAAGATGTGCATGCGAGCGAACACTTTTCTAGGCATGTCATCGATGATGCTCGCGATCCCGTTCTCATCCCCTTTAGTTCGTTGAAATCTCCAGTGGTTTACAGGAGAGTTGGCGATATATCGCGTGCATTTGGCCCGTTGAAGACCGTAAATTGTTATGTTAGCGCATACTTTGCAACAGAAGCAACATCGATACGCACAGAAAACAACATGCAATGTCCAAAAAACAACATGCACGCTCCAAAATTATCCTGGCGAAAGACCCAACCATGCGCAAGTGTGAGAACCGCAAGGCAGGTGGGACGAAGCAAGGGGACTTTCCTATGGGCCACGAACCGTGTGAGGGGGTGCGCCAAAATGGGGCGGGGCCGCCATGCGAACCCTGCCATTGGGGCCTTCGGTGGAGCTCCCTATGGGGCCACGAACCGTGTGAGGGGCGCGCCAAAATGGGGCGGGGCCGCCATGCGAACCCTGCCACTGAGGCCTTCGGTGCAGCCCTCTATGGGGCCACGAACCGTGTGAGGGGTGCGCCAAAGTGGCGCGGGGCTGCCATGCGAACCCTGCCACTGGGGCCTTCGGTGGAGCTCCCTATGGGGCCACGAACCGTGTGAGGGGGGCGCCAAAATGGGGCGGGGCCGCCATGCGAACCCTGCCAGTGAGGCCTTCGATGGCTCCCTATGGGGCCACGAACCGTGTGACGGGTGCGCCAAAATGGCGCGGGGCCGCCATGCGAACCCTGCCACTGGGGCCTGCAGTGCAGCTCCCTATGGGGCCACGAACAATGTGAAGGGTGCGCCAAAACGCGGGGCCGCCATGCGAACCTTGCCACTGGGGCCTTCGGTGAGGCTCCCTATGGGGCCACGAACCGTGTGAGGGGTGCGCCAAAGTGGCGCGGGGCTGCCATGCGAACCCTGCCACTGGGGCCTTCGGTGGAGCTCCTTATGGGGCCACGAACCGTGTGAGGGGTGCGTCAAAAGGCGGGGCCGCCATGCGAACCCTGCCACTGGGGCCTTCGGTGGAGCTCCCTATGGGGCCACGAACCGTGTGAGGGGGGCGCCAAAACGCGGGGCCGCCATGCGAACCCTGCCACTGGGGCCTTCGGTGGAGCTCCCTATGGGGCCACGAACCGTATGAGGGGTGCGCCAAAATGGCGCGGGGCCGCCATGCGAACCCTGCCACTGGGGCCTTCGGTGCAGCTCCCTGTGGGGCCACGAAACGCTGTACTGGGTGGGTGAAACGCAGGGAGGAGGGAGGAAGAAGAAGAGGAGGAGGAGGAGGAGGAGTAGGAGGAGGGGGAGAGGGGGGAAGGAATGAACGAAGGAAGGAAGGAAGGAAGGAAGGAAGGAAGGAAGGAGGAACGCGGGGCACCGTCTTTTCAAAACGAGGACCCAACACCACAGGATGGTTTGGACAAAACTTCAAATATAGGCCAAAAGCGAACATGACACCCCCAAAAACTCCAACACGCTAACTAGTTATAACGAGTTACTAACTAGATATAACTCCAGCGAACTATTACTAACCGACGCGTTCCTTCAGGCGAGGGGCTTTGAGGGAACTCCGGGGGAGGGGGCACCGAGGGGGCCCTGAGGGGGCCCCGCGAGGGAGGCCCCGAAGGGGCCCCGATGGGGGCCCGAGGGAGCTCGGAGGGGAGGATGCCCCGAGAGGGGGGGCCCGAGGGGGCTTCGCGAAGGCTTCGAGAAATCCCCTGAAGGGGCCCCGAGGGAGTTCGGAGGGGGTTTCGAGGGGGCGCGGAGGAGGCCCGGAAAGGGCTCCATGCTCCGAGGAGGCCCCGAAAGGGGTTCGAGCTCCGGAGAGGGGCCCGAGGGGGCCCGGAAGGGCGAAGGGGGCCCCGGGGGGGCCCCAGAGAGCCCGAGGATGCTCTCAGGGGGCCACGAGGGGGCCCCGAAGAGAGCTTGAGGGGGCTCGGAGGGGGTTCCAAGATGGGGGCTCCGAGGGGGCTCCGAGGGAGGCCCAGAGGTCCCCGGAAAGCGCCGAGGGAGCTCGGAGGGGAGGGGGCCCTGAGGTGGCCGGAGGGGGCCTCGCAAAGGCTTCGAGAAATCACCAAGGGGGCTCCGAGATAACTCGGAGGAGGCCCGGAGGAGGCCCGCGAAGGGCCCCGAGGGAGTCCCGATCCTAGGAGGCCCCGAGGGGGTCAGGAGGGGGGCCCGAGGGAGCTCCCGAGGGGGCCCCGAGGGGGCGCCGAGGGGGGCCCGAGAAGAGGGGGGCCGGAGGAGCTACGAGGGGGGCTGGAGCCCCGGGGCCCAGGAAGGGCGTCGAGGAGGCCCCGAGGAGGCTCCGAGGGGGCTCCGAGGGGGGCCCGAGGGGGCCCCGAGGGGGCCCGGTGGAGGGCCCGGAGGGGAGGGGGGGGGGACGAGAGAAGCATGCTTGACTCTCTCGCAAGACCCGCCGGCGGGGTCGCGTCCGGTTCGGCACGACCTGTTCGGCGGGCCGGTTCGGTCCGGCCGGTTCGGTTCGCCGGGCCAGTTTGGGTCGGTTCGGCCAGTTCGGGTCGAGGGCCGGTTCGGTTGGATGGCCATTTTGCAAGTCGAGGCGCGTTTTTGCAAGTCCCGGAGGCGATTCTCCAAGTCCCGGAGGGCCCCCGGGAGCCTGATTTTCCTCTCCTTGTCCTTGTCCTGCTCCCCTCCCCCTACTCCGTGGCGAACCGGGCGAAACTGGAGCGAAACGCATGGCGAACCGCGGGCCGAACCGGACGGCACTTCTCAGAACTCGACGAACCGAATTAACCGAACAGGAGAATTCCGACACCGAATTCGCGGCCCGAACCGAACCGGACGCACTTCGGAACGCAGCCGAACCGAACCGAACCGGACCCTTCCTGGAGAGGAGGCGGAGGAGGAGGAGAAATGATGCCTGCCCCAGTCCTGGATCCCTCTCCCTCCCCACATTCTCCCCCTTAAGCTGCCAGAAAGGGTTGGGCGGGCGGAGCTGCCCCATGCTGTTCCCATCCAAGGTGGGGCCGATCCGCCAGGCCGCGTGCGAGGCGCTCGGCGCCGTGGCCGAGGCCGGCGGCCCCGAGGTGGCCGGGAAGGCGCTGGAGCCGCTCTCGCAGCTGGCCCAGGACCAGGACGGGTCTGTCCGCGAGGCCGCGTGCGGGCCGCTCGGCGCCGTGGCCGAGGCCGGCGGCCCCGAGGTGGCCGGGAAGGCGCTGGAGCTGCTGTCGCGGCTGGCCCAGGACCAGGACAGGTCTGTCCGCTGTGCCGCGTGCGGGCCGCTCGGTGCCGTCGCCGAGGCCGGCGGCCCCGAGGTGGCCGGGAAGGCGCTGGAGCCGCTCTCGCAGCTGGCCCAGGACCAGGACGGGTCTGTCCGCGAGGCCGCGTGCGGGCCGCTCGGTGCCGTCGCCGAGGCCGGCGGCCCCGAGGTGGCCGGGAAGGCGCTGGAGCCGCTCTCGCAGCTGGCCCAGGACAAGTATGGGTTTGTCCGCGCTGCCGCGTGCGGGCCGCTCGGCGCCGTGGCCGAGGCCGGCGGCCCTGAGGTGGCCGGGAAGGCGCTGGAGCCGCTCTTGCGGCTGGCCCAGGACCGGGACTTGTGGGTCCGCTGTGCCGCGTGCGGGCCGCTCGGTGCCGTCGCCGAGGCCGGCGGCCCCGAGGTGGCCGGGAAGGCGCTGGAGCTGCTCTCGCAGCTGGCCCAGGACCAGGACTTGGGTGGGGCCGCGTGCGGGCCGCTCGGCGCCGTGGCCAAGGCCGGCGGCCCTGAGGTGGCCGGGAAGGCGCTGGAGCCGCTCTCGCAGCTGGCCCAGGACCAGGACTGGTGGGTCCGCCAGGCCGCGTGCGGGCCGCTCGGTGCCGTGGCCGAGGCCGGCGGCCCCGAGGTGGCCGGGAAGGCGCTGGAGCCGCTCTCGCAGCTGGCCCAGGACCATGAAGGGTCTGTCCGCCGGGCCGCGTGCGGGCCGCTCGGCGCCGTGGCCGAGGCCGGCGGCCCCGAGGTGGCCGGGAAGGCGCTGGAGCTGCTCTCGCGGCTGGCCCAGGACCAGGATTGGTCTGTCCGCGAGGCCGCGTGCGGGCCGCTCGGTGCCGTCGCCGAGGCCGGCGGCCCTGAGGTGGCCGGGAAGGCGCTGGAGCCGCTCTCGCAGCTGGCCCAGGACCAGAACGGGTCTGTCCGCTGTGCCGCGTGCGGGCCGCTCGGTGCCGTCGCCGAGGCCGGCGGCCCCGAGGTGGCCGGGAAGGCGCTGGAGCCGCTCTCGCAGCTGGCCCAGGACCAGGACGGGTCTGTCCGCCGGGCCGCGTGCGGGCCGCTCGGCGCCGTGGCCGAGGCCGGCGGCCCTGAGGTGGCCGGGAAGGCGCTGGAGCTGCTCTCGCGGCTGGCCCAGGACAAGGACGGGGATGTCCGCGCGGAAGCGCGCTTCGTTAATGGCTGAGTCAGCGCGCGTGCACCTTGTCCCACGCGGCAGCGGCCAGCTGCAGTGGCCACGCAGCCCCCTGGTTCTGCCTGTCTGCTCCGCTTTCCCGCAGCCACGCTGACGGGCCTCGCGTCGCAGTGGCAACGCATGCATTTAATTCGCAGAATATAAGAGCATCGAGCGACAGTGCCCGTGTCATTCTTTCTTCAATCGTAAGTGCATGGCGAGTCAGCGCGCGTGCCATTCCGTGTCGGGAGCCAAAGGCCTCGGCAGAGTTGGTCGCTTCGCGCTTGATGCCCTCCTTCCCAACAATCTTCGGTCCTCCCCATCTCCCGAATCGAAAGTTTCTCGGGCGAAACGGCCTGGACCACCTCAGATGGGCTTATGTTGGAACCTGAAGTTTCGAGGATGTCTCAGGCGAGAGGGGCTGGACCACCTCAGAATTTCGAGGATGTCTCAGGCGAGAGGGGCGGGTCTTTCGGGCGGAATTCTTTCTTATCACAACAGACCCTGTCAGCACAGCTCATCGTCATCGTCCTTCTCTTCTTCTTCCTCGAGATTCTACTCTTGTCCCTCGCGTTCCTCCATTTTCTCGTCCTACTGATGCTGTTGGTCCTCCCCCCCTCCCATTCGCTGTCCCCTCTCTCCGTCATCTCTCCTCACTCTCACCCACTCTTTCCCCCTCCTTCCCCAGACATCCGGCTGCTCCAATTTTCTGGGTGCGTGGGCCCCGGAGGTCCGGACCACTTCCCTAGGGCCGGCTTTTCCTCCTGAGTCGTTTTTTGACGCTCCCGAGACCCGGCGAGGGCCCTTGGAGGCCGAAAACAGCCAAAGATTGCCTGCTCCAATTTTTGGGGGGGCGTCGGATCTCAGGGTCATTCTCCTCCTCGCGATCCTCCTTCCCCTCCTCCCTCCTCCTCCTTTCTCTTGGTGGCCATGGTAACCACGCAACCATTGGCCGCAGCCGCGCGGCCTCACGAGGTGCGCGTCCAGCATGCCAGGGACGGCCTCACATGGCTCCTGGGGAGAAACCTCCTCTTCTTCTTCTTCTTCTTCTTCCTCCTCCTACTATGTTGCTGGTTTCTGTGGGCGAATTGCTAAGCAGACTGAGGTATTGAGTCTTTGTCAGATGATGTTCGGAGCTTTATTTCTGGCTGGGATTGTTTCTCTAGGCCGGCCAGATTTTGAAGATTTCGCCTACAACATCGAGAAGTCAGATGGGTTCCAAGCTGAACTTGATCATGCAAGCAAGCAGCAATGGAAGGACCGGATGAGCACGGCATTTTTCAACGGTGCGGGTAAGGCGCAGAGGCTCACCAGACCGCAGGCTCTGCAAGCTAACATCATGAGCACGCAGCGCACGCAACCTTACGAAATGGCGGACGATGAGATGTGGAAATGGCAACGAGTCTGGACATGTCATGACACGCAGCGCATGCAATTACCCAGCACACACGTTCAATGGCCTGCATCGTAATACATCTCAGTGCAGAGCGTGCGTGACGCAATGCAGACATGTTCGTGGAAGACAGCCACTGGTCCGACTCGGATTTATCCACGGCTGTTCGAGTATATTTCAGATGTTGGTTTAATGGCTGTCGCCGAGCTTTTCATGCCGTGCGAGCGGCTCTTGATCTGGCCGCAAGGTAGAATCATTAACGAGATAAAGCTGATGCGGGCACTAGATTGATCACGCTAGTCGAGAGCCTGTTCCGTTTGTGGTCCCGCATTCGAAGGCCGTTTTCCAGGGCGTGGGCCAAAAGCCACGGGAGTAATCATGTCTGGGGTAACCGTCGGGGATATTCGTCGTCGTTTGCAGCGTACGAGCATAATCTACAAGCCGAGACAGCTGATAGGCTAGGATAACACTCAATAAGCACAGTATTGGACATGTGGAGATGCTTCGATACGGTGTTGTTTCCTGCCTTGATGGACGAGGCGGTCTGCCTCAACTATCCGATTAGATTGGTTTGGATGTTGTTAGAGTCATGCGTGCAGCCGAGAGTGATAAAGGCTAATGGCTGCTGGCGTCTACCGACAGTTGTGCTGCAAGGTATCTTAGCAAGTTGCACGCACGCGACAACGTCGTTGAATATCATGACGCTCCGCGTGATCAACAAGGTGCACACCAAGCATTGCACCATCATGCCCAGGGCCCTGGTGGACGACAGTACTCTGCAGTGGACTCGTTCTAATCTCCTGGAGGTTTCGGAACTTTCGGAGGCTGTCTCGGAGTTCAAGGAAGATGCTCTGGAACTGGGACTCATTGTTCAACCTGAGAAGTCGGGGTGGGTTTCCAGATCCAGGAGTTCTTGGAAGTCGTTCGACGAGCGTGCTAAGCGATTGCGTCTCACGGCTAAGAAATGGACCAGGAATCTTGGGCATGAGCTCCCGGGTACGAAGCCGATCAGAAAGCAAGCCGAAGTGCGACTCAAAAAGCTTAGAGATATGATGCCAAGGGCACTCACGGTGCGCAAGAGCGCTGGAGGCTTGGTCGCTGCACCCTGGCGTACTGGTTTGCTTCCAGCTGCTGCGCACGGTGCTTCTGTGTCTGGAGCTTCGGAGCAGGAGCTCCTCAGGCTCAGGCGCGCAGCTGGCGTAGTCTGTGGCAGGTCGTCCACAGCATCTGCTTTAACGCTAGTGTTAGCCACGCAACGAGCTGAGCAATATGATCCAGTGTTTCATGCTACTCTAGAGCCTGTGAAGGCTTATGCGAGCTTCGTATGGGAACAGCGCATTTCCCTGGGACGGCTCCAGAGGGCTTGGGAGGTGGTCAACCAGCAACCCCGGGAAAAAGCTAACTGGGCTGATGCTCGGGGACCGATTTCAGTATTGTGGCTCACACTAGTTAGGACAGGCTGGAGTATGCTATCTAGCACCGTCCTTTGCGATGGCAACCAGCACACGATCGATTTCATGAGAATTCCGCCCAGATCGGTACTCTCATTGGTCAAGGATGGAGCTCAAAGGTGACAGGTTTCGAACATACTAGATTGGCATAAGGACGTGTGCTTTGGTGGCGAGCAGATTTGGATGCGTGCTCTTCGGCGATGCCTAGGCGGTGCCAAGGCAGCTGTTCGGGCCCCTAGGTTTGCAGATGCCCAAAGAGCGCTTTGGTATGGAGGACTCTGGACAAGATCTAGGATGGCTAACGCGGGCGATCGCCTTTCCCCGGCGTGCCCATGGTGCCCCACTGGACCTCCTGACACCTTGGCCACTAAGTGTACGATTGCCCCAGGCTCTACGATGAAGCTCAAGATGAGGACCTCCGATGGGGCCCCAAGTTTGACTACGTTCAGAAGCACCGCCAGTCCATGGGTATCACGGGCCTCGGGGACTCCGATTGGGACAAGTTCGGATGTTGTGTGGGCATGCCGCTGTCCCCATCCAGCCATGCCGAAGGTCCCCATTGAAGATGCCTGTGGTGCTCTGGGGTGATTGGTCGTCGGACAGGTCCACATGCTCCACTGTGGTTTACGCGGGCGGATCTGGGATGGCCCCAAGTTGGCCAGAGCTTCGGCGATGTGGCTGGGGGGATCTGTCAGCTAGGAAACAATGGCATGCCCGTGCGAGGGGCCTACGGTGGGCTGGCTGGCCCAATTCAGACAGTAGGACGTGCTGAGCGTGCTGCGGTCTGGCAGGCGCTCTCCGTGCTCCCGTCCGTCTCGCTCATCGCGACGGACCTTTGGTCTCTGTGCGATGGAGGCACGGCGTGGCACGAAGACCATCCTGACGCCCAAGTTACTTATCCAGGTATCTGGAAAGATATTTCCAATTTGGTCGGCGACATGAAGTGCCCTTCTTTCCAGTGGATTCAGGCCCACATGAATCTGGAACAAGCGCTGCTCTCGGCTTACCCCTTTGAGTTCTACCTCGGCAATGCGTGGTCGGAGTGGTTCGCGAAGAGAGGGTCCGTGGAGCATGCCTATCCAGAAACGATCGTTAATCATTACGAGGGGCTGTTGTCGGAGGCCAAGTTCGAAAAGGCCAAGTTTCTTGGGTGGGCCGCTGCTAAGATTGCTTATCGTGATGGTGAAAAGTGACCGCCCCGCTCGCTCCCATAGGCAACCCACGGCGGCCCCGAAGTTGGGCCTCACTCAGCACAGTATAGTGCAAGTGTCTCGGGACGGGGCCAAGGTGCTCCAGTGTCGACTGTGTATGTCTGTATCGAGGACCCCTGCTGGCTTGGCGAAATTGCCTGGCACCCCGTGTAACCCAACCCCTCAGCAGAGGTTGATGGCTTCTCGGGGCAAGGGCTTGCAGGAGGGTCCATTTATGCGCAGTCAGGCGGTAGGAGTGGCCCTACAGTGGGCCCACGAGAAGGGTTCTGTCAGCACCCCAGGGGCGGCGCCTGTGCACAGTGAATCGCCTGCTCCGCCGCCAGATGAGATTGTTGAGCTCCGTGGGCACCGTACTTGGGCGACCCAAGGGGCAATGGTGTGCACCCTGTGCGGCTCCTATCAAGTGTCTGCCAAGGCTGCCACATGTAATGTTGACGAGGCCTGTTTAGGCCCCGCTGAGGACAAGCTTGCCGGAGCCAGGCAGAAATCTAAGTTCGATGCCATAAAGGCTGCCAAGCATCCCAAGAAGGGTAAGAAACTCGTGTAGTTCCGTGTGCCCTGGCAGGGCCCAAGTGTTGGCCTGTGCTCCTGGTTCAGCTGCACGACAGGTCATCGGCGTTGTCCTCCTCCTCCTCCTCCTCCTCCTCCTCCTCCTCCTCCTCCCCCTCCTCCCCCCTTTCTCTTCCTCCGCCCCCCCCCCATCCTCCCCCTCCCCCTCCCCCTCTTCCCCCTCCTCCTCCGCCTCCTCCGCCTCCTCCTCCTCCTCATTCTCCTCCTGCTCCTCCTCCTCTCCCTCCTCCTCCTCCTCCTCATCCTCCTCCTCATCCTCCTTCTCCTCGTCGTCATCCTCCCTCTCCTCCTCCTCCTCCTCCTCCTCCTCCTCCGCCTCCTCCTCCTCCTCCTCTCCCCTGCTCCTCCTCCTGTTCCTCCTCCGCCTGCTCCTCCTCTTCCTCCTCTTCCTCCTCCTCCTCCTCCTTCTCCTCCTCCTCCCCCTCCTCCTCAATTACGCAATATCAATACTCTCTTCTTCATCCCCTGATGGCGCGCGGAAGACAGCGGGCACCCCTTCGCGTACTGCTCTTTTACACACAGGAATTCCCGGAGTTGGGTTTTCGCCTGGTTTGTTTCGACATGATTCTCGCGCTGATGCGCGGGTTTCATTTTCGGGTTGGCCGCTCGTTCCGAATCGTGCTCCCGCTGCAGCGATGGCCTCATGTCCGCGCTTCCGCTCGTTCCGAATCGTGTTCCCGCTGCAGCGCTGGCGTCATGTCCCGTGCCATGCCACGGCGTGCAATGCAATGCTAGGTTGCGTTCCGCTGCGCGATGCCATACCTTCAGCTGCAGTTGTCATATCCAGTGCTTAAGTGCCACGTCGTGCTGTGCCATGCTACGCTTTGATATTCAACGCCATGCTATGCAATGTTATGTTCGGGGCCGCTGTGCGATGACATGCTTTGCGTTGCAAGGCTTTGTGCTACAATTCTTCACTACGCCACGCCACGCCATGCTGTGACATACTACGCTTTGCAGTGCTCTTCTACGCCATGCCATGCCGTGTTCTACAATGCATCGCGTACCCTTTCGGGATCATTGCCCTGCTCGACATCCGATTGCGCGACTAGAGAGGGGATCTACGCAATGGTACGGGATGGGGGGAAGGGGCACGATGGAAGGTATAACGCGAGCGCACCTAGCTTGTCCCCCTCCCCCTCTTCCTCCTCCTCCTCCTCTTCTTCCTCCTCCTCCTCCTTCTCCTCCTCCTCATCCCCCTTCTCCTCCTCCGCCCCCCCATCCTCCTCCTCCTCCTCCTCCTCCTCCTCATCCTTCTCCTCCTGCTCTCCCTGCTCCTCCTCCTCCTCCTCCGCCTCCTCCTCCGCCTCCTCCTCCCCCTCCTCCTCTCCCTCCTCCGTCTCCTCCTCCTCGTCCTCTCCCCTGCTCCTCCTCCTCCTCCTCCTCCTCCTCCTCCTCCTCCTCCTCCTCCTCCTCCTCCTCCCCTCCCCCTCCCC